ATAAACGCCACGTATTATTCACAGTAGAATATTCTTTGTTGTTTTCACAAGGTAGTATTATAGCCACACTGGCACGGCGGCACCACACCCCCGAGGCGAGACGACGTCTCGAACAAATCGAACACGTGCCACACACATATACAAACACACACGTATCGCTATACGATAAGTGTGACGTGTCGGAGGAAAACGCCGTGGCGAATCTGCACGAAAAATATTTGGGAAATTAACCTTTTCACGTTATATTTAATCCACGAGATACATCCAGGTGTTGCGGTTCGTGATAACGCCCGTTCTAATTGCACGCGTAACGAAGGTGCGATCGTAGTAGAGGGCGAGATCACTGTGTACACGATAACGCACTGGTAGTCCATTCCTTCCCCATTTCGATTCGTCAATTTGTGTCCATATGTGAATGTATGTATGTATACGTGTTTTTTGTTATTTTTTTCTTTTTTTTTTTTTTAAGTATGAACACGTTTTGTGAAAGATCAAGTTGGGATCACTGGACAGGGAAGAGAGCTGTCCACGAGTCGTGAAACTAGCCACGAGCTACGCGTTTTTGGCAATACCACCCGTTAAGGACTCTTACACCCTCCCACGAGGAGCAAAGGGGTTTTCTCTCTCATCCCTCGTAGGGGCGGAGCAATCCTTAGAATCGATAGTTGTCCTCGAGTTTCTCCCGTTATTGTGCGTAACGTCAGGGATTCCAAGAATTCCGAGTACACGCGTAAATAAAGAAATCCGGCCGCCGTTTATGAAGGCAATTTTCTTTCTCTTGCCAACCTATTCATCCCTCCCTTTGTCACGCCCCCTAGCGCCTATCAATCTCTCCCTCCCACGACTTTCTAACGTCTGAAAGGCAACACGTATATGAATGTACACGAGGAGCGGCAAGGTCGAAATTCTTGGACAAAATACATAATTGAAATTTTTTTCCTCATGTTTATAACTTTTTGTATGGTATATTCTGTAGTTTTGTTAGATAATGATCTTAATGCTTTAATATTTGCAAAGAGATACGAATGATAAAACGTTCTCGGTTGTTAGTTAATTCTAGCATTGATAACGTTTAACCTGTAATTATTCCATATAGAAAGTAATTGAAATGATAAGTATAGAATAGGGAATTATAAAGAAGCGTAATTTTACGGTGAGCGAAAAAGAAGGTTGCTCGCGGACATCGCTCTGGTGAGACAAAGGACGATGAACTTGAAAGGACGTCGTATGAATATCGATTCGGTGTTTACATGCTGGCTCATGCGCTTTGCCCGCGATTTCTCGGTAAGACCGTTTCAGAAACTTTCCAACTTCGCGGTCCTCTCTCTTAACGCATCAATAAAAATGTAACGTATCCTGTACGAATATAAAATATTTGAAACAAACAGAATGCAACACAAAGAATCTTTGCGAAACGTGTTAAGCATTTAACCTCTTCAAGGACACTGAGACACATACTTATATGTATGTTTAGTTTTTTTTCTTCTTTTTTTTTTGAAAATTCAAATATTTATGTTAGAGAAAAGATGAAAATTACAATTTCTCAACATAGAAAACATCCAATTGCCATCATTTTAAAATGAATGAAATATAACTACATAAAAAATTAGATCATTTTTTCCAAGTTTAAAAAAAAACGTCTCTAAAGAGGTTAATGCAGAAATAAACTGTGTGGCTCCTTACTACCATTAAAGTGTCGATGCAACAGTAAAGGAATAACTACAAAGCCACTTTGCTCTAGCACAATATTTAAAATCGACGTCCACGTTTAAAAGAAAGGCGACGATCGATCAAAATGTGCAATACAACGTCTGTTGTACAACGTTTCTATCGACATATATATTGCGTCCATGTGTCATGTATTGTGACAACAAAAAAAAGCAGAGTTTGCGAAACATATCGAACTGCATATCCATCTTCTATTTCGCTTGATGTTATTTCATTTGAAGCATATCTATCCGAGTACGTCAAATAAAAATTTATAGCTGACATTAATGAAAGATGATTGTATAAACGTACTGATTCAACGGTAGTACAAAATCATATCCCAGATTGATCGCTTACCTATCAAAGATCCTGGCCTCTTTGAGGACGTTGCCAAGATTGATGTAGGCGTCCAAGAAGTTTGGGTCCAAAGCTACGGCCTTTTCAAAATGATGGATCGCCAGCCATATTTCTCCCTGAGCATTAAACACGCAGCCAAGATTGCTCCATGCAACCGCGAAATCTGGACGCGTTTCGATCGCCTTTAGGTAGCATGCCTACAGACAAACGACGGATTAGAGAAAAGTGCTCGCGTACGTACTGTTAGAGACGCGCCGCGGGCATTGCCAGACCTCTCCTCGCCGCGCCGCAGCTTTCACACACTTCACCATCCTCCGGAAAACCTCATAGAACACAACATTTATATCTTCATACTTTCGTTATCTCTCTGTTTCTCTACCTTCGCTGTCCCTTTCCTTTTACTTATACAAATTTAGCCGAATATATATACATATATATATACTTTTGATCAATAGTTTCCACTATACGGATTGATTTTAACTTCGTGGAAGACTAATCTCGTCCACTTTTCTTCAAAAATTTTCAATTTAAAACGATCCTTTGCTAAGTGTGTATCTTTAAACATTCTTTAATACACTGGTCTATACTTGAGTACAAAAACTAACGTTTCACTTCATAACTGAGACAAATTTCGTACACGTTAGAACAGTAATTCTGCATAATCATAATAACAATGAGAATATATCAGAATGGAACGTGTAAGTTAACCCGTACAGTGGTATTGTATGATCAATCACTAAAACAAACATTCCAGGTTTGCGGTTCGATTCCACATGGAAAACGAGAATGAAAGAGAGACAGACAGAACAAAAAAGCACATTTGGCGATTCATACAATGTGTAGTGGGTAAGGATACAGTGTCAGATCAGGAGAAAAAGGGTTTTAGGTGCGCGCTAGAAACGTCATCGTTGTAAATAGAAACGACACGGGTGTTCTCGTTCTCGTGTCCATCGATTCTCCGGAATGCGTCCGGTGGACTCGACGGCACGCAGCAAGCACACCTTTTGCCTAAAATCATCCATGTTCTGCTCACAATTCTCTCACTTGGCCAATATTGCTCCGACAATTCTTCATTCTCAGTTGATGCGCTTAAACAAAATGTATCAATTTTCATCAATTCTTCAGTTACCCATGTGTGTCCATTTAATCTAATCATATGTGTGTATATATATATCATTCATCAGATCTATTAATTAATTATAATTCGTATCTACGACAGAGAAATAAATTTGTTCAAAATCCCCATTACGTGACGACGCTCCTAAGGGTCATGCAGGGATGTGCATCGCGCGTGCCGAGAGGCGGGCTGCATTGTTATAAAAAACAGAGTAATCCGTACCTAAAGAATATGTAAAAGGGCATTTACAGTCGGCCGATCTCTATGGGATATGGAAAAAAGAGAGAGTAGGTTAAATATGTAGGTAAATAAAGAATAGGAGGATAGAGGAGAAACAGTAATGGAAATGGACAGAAACGAAGTTGGATGAACTTTAAACACAGTGGATATATATATATGTGTGTGTATATATATATATGTATATATATTCCCGTTTCTCACGATGAAACGGTTATAACGGTTCACATTTCGTTTCGTATGACCTTCGTGTCCTTTTTATAATATATCGGTGCTTCCCCGTATCTGCCATTCGAATTCCGAGAAACGTGTGTCGGCAAGAGCAAGCGTACGGGATGTGCTGTGTGTGTCGGACCTTGTTTTATTTATATTTTGCTTTTTTCGGTCCTTAGTTCAAATATGATCCAACTTTCAATCTCTCGTGTGGAACATAGCGGAACCAATTCAGTGGTGTCTGATGGAATATTCAGAGATCGGCCTTGGGAATTACTTTACCTGCAGAGTACCCTTCGGTAGGTTGACGGTAGGTACGGCTCGCAAGCTCTCATAATAAACTTAGACCGAGAGAGACAGTGTGTTACTGAATAACCAGATTCAGATTCACCCTTTGACGAAGGAACCCATGGTAACCGACCAATCACATTGCTCCGACTTCCCCTCCTAGAGTTGATCATCCCATCCACAACAACAAGACAGCTGCGTTAATGTCTCTTCACTGATACTCTTCGCCTCAACTTTTTGTCTTTTTTTTCATTCTTTTTTTTTTTTTAATTTTCTCTTTTTAACATACGGTATATAGAGGTACATAGTCATGCGTGCCGCTGAAAGACACGCTTCGCTGAGCTCGCCAGCCACCATGTTATAATCGCGTCAACTACCCGACACCGAACCCAATAATATGCCTGGTGTATTTTAACGGCCGTTACCAATTTTACATTCGAAATAAACTAACCGCGGTTACTACACAAAGGTTGAGTATATATATACGTTAATTTCTGCCTTTGTCGTTAACGATAGTTTTCTTTTGATAAAACTATAACCGTATCCTTGAACGTATTTTTTTTCTTATTTTTGAAAAGATAATTTTGAGAAATCGTTCCCCTGTGTCGCAAAAGGTCGAGAATTTGTTTTTTTTAATTTTTCTGCAAACGTAACACGTGTTGGTGGCTAAACGTACTAAGCGAAAAACGAATGAGTAAACTAGAGAGCGCTCAAGAACGGCAGGAAATACAATGGAAAGCCTTTCTCTTTGCTGCATTCAATTTTCTCGACGAGCTTGCTTGCAGAGAGTTTAGAAAATATTATCGAAAGAACCGGATGTGAAATATAAACGAGCAATGTGAAATGATCGAGCACATGTTTCTTTTAAATAAAACTTCGTCATACTGTCTGCAATCAGTTTTTTACTCGTCGATTATCGCCGCGCCGCGCTGCTCTTATGAAGCAGATCACTTGACCATTCAAATTTTGCTATCTATTATTCCAAATCCGTTAATCGTTGAAACGAACGAAACTCTTAGGAGTAGAGAAAGTCCCATGAGTTTCCAACATCAGAAATAGTTCAATATTTGCCTATTTTCTCGTGCATAAAGTAGTATCGTGGAAATAAACGTACAATTTGAAAAAAACGTTAACAATCATTTCAATTAGTCAAGTGAACTCGCGCAATCATCATCGTACACACAAATTTGTTTGCTTTCGAAGTTGGAAAGAGTAGTTGGAAAGAAAAGGTCGCATTTGTCCACGTATATGTAACGGATTGGTATACCTAAATACACATTCAAAATGAGCTGAATCAAATGAGATGAGCTTAAGTGCTACAGTCGCGCAACTGCTGATCCTATTGTAGCTGATTATATTCTGAGGAAAAAAAATAACAATACTTGTATTATTTTGTCAAGAATTAGAAAAAGAAGTTATTGCTGTAATAGGACCCGCAAAATTGTGATTAAACTTTGCAATAACGCCAGAGCAAAGAAAGTCCACTGCGTCCTTTTATCGGTGTTATTACAAAGCGCGCAATGCCAGAAGAGGGATTTCATATAGTTTTAAACTAATTTTAGATTAAAACCCTCGTGCTGCGTTTGATGTCCCAGAAGGAATATCATTTATCTCCGAGTATCTTCCTTGGTTCTCGATAAACGGAAAAAAGGAAGAAAAACGAGTAACACCAAACGCAGTATTCAGTTGGTTAGATGGGAGAACACGCGCGATGGACAGTCTGTTATCAAGATTCTAATCCCGTTTCGTGCCTTCTTGCAAAACAACGCGCAATCATTTTTGATAGCAGGCCATCGCGCGCCGCGCGCACATTTTACCGCAAAGAGAAAGAGCTTTCCGCCTCAAGTATACGGATACTACTTGTTCCTGGCTATTCTATGGAACTGCTAACTAGCACTCTTGCACATTTTACGAGATGCATTTGTACCTTGTCAAAAATAAACTCGACGAAACTTCACAGCAATGGCCAACCTCCTAAGATTTGACTGCGGTACTAATGGATCCGAATATGTGCGTGACACGTTAGATTAATTTACAACAATGTGCAATCGACAAACAAACCTACCTTGGCTTCGTCAAGTCTTGCTAATGCTTTCAAAAGATTACCGAGATCGCTTCTCACACAGTAGAGATCCTGTAACATGTAATGTATGTTTACTTGATAACCATTGAAAAACGACATACGGAGAATTTTCCAAGGCCATTATAAATCAGATATAATTTAAAGGTGTATTATTTATCAATAGTAGAAAGATTTCTCACAGGGTTGTACTGTAGGGCAGTCACATATGCTTGAACTGCTTGTTCCATATCCCCTGCAGCTACTAATGCAGCTGCCAGATTGATGTAACCATCAATGAAATCTGGTTTCAGTCTAACTGCATGTCTGTAGTTTTCCAATGCTTCCTGCAGCTGGCCACGTTCTTTGAAAACATTCCCAAGATTACTATAAGCCTCAGCCAATAAGGGGTTCTGCTTTATTGCTAAGCTGCTGTAATGAGCAGATCTAGAATGCAAAAATAGAAATATATTAATGATATATATAATCTAAAAGTAATGCAACAATTGTTGAAGAAGATATTTACTTTTCTAGCCTTCTGCACTGGAAATGAATAGAAGATAGTAACAGAAGAACTCCTGTGTTATTTGTTTCTTGTCTCCAGAGCTGCATGCAATGTCTTTCTGCATTTTCATAATCCCCTGCTTGATATTCTCTGTGGGCAAGTTCCAGTAGCCCTAAAAAACAAAGAAATTCAAACATATTTATATACAACTTTCAAATTATGTTATATGAAAATTCGATTTGTTTAATGTACCAAAGAAATAAAAATTTTGCGTCGGTATTTGCAATCCATTTTACATGCACATTTTTTCTTGGTTTATATATTTTTTTTACAGACCTCTGTTGTAAGTACATCTTAATTTTAACTTTATCGATAAAACATTTTTATACCAATTTAAAAAAAACATGTACTGTTAGAGAGAAGCATATAAAATACAAACCATTGTATTTTATCGCATTTAGAATTCAAACGGATGTACGTGTATTTCTTAAGCCAGTGCTATATGGCTAATCTTGTTTACACCGGTATAAATACGCGTATCATGGTATACGAACGAACCATTTCTGCGCAATTCTTGCGATCGGGAAACATAGTAATATTCGTGCATAATATGAAAGATAGAAAAATCCATGTACAGAAATATTGAAAATTTCGTAAGCTGATATAAATTAGGCATAAGTATAAACCATAAGGACGAATAAAATGTGAAAAATATGATGTAAAATCAATATTATTATCCCTTAAAATATAACAGCGTTTCTGCATATTGCGCGTTGCATCGCAATCTCTATAAAAGTTTGTGTGAAAAACAATATGCTTCCGCTTTGACTAAAACATATCGATTTTCTGTTGAGCCGGTTTATCGGACACATAAAATAGCATGGAGGAAAAAATTACGAGACAGAAAAATTACGAACAATAGGAGTCAACGGCGACGTTAATGGTCTGATTGTCAGCGATCGCAATTAATTCCTTGCCCTGGGTATCCTGTGTAACAACCAGAAGATTCTGTCCATTTTGCCACTCGACGGTTCCATTAGAAACGTCATCCGAGCTATTGACCACATTCCCGATTATGCCGGTAGAGTTTTTTAGAACATTCTCTTTCTTCTCAGCCAGTCTTAAACTCATTTTGTCGGCGAATTTTTCCAAGTACGTTGTTCCGCGTTTCTAGGTACCACACGCACGCCGTTTACACACAATCAACTTCCAACCAATTTCGAGACCTTTCGATACACGAAAATTAGCGACTCAACTTTTTGTTACAAAAATGTCCACTACCCGATCCCGAATTGCTTTTCCCTTTCGATTCACACGTTTAGTGCGCGTTACTCCAGTTATGTTTCTTTCCAATCGCACTACCGTATCAAAATACTAACTAATTTCTCGTTTCTGTACACACTGTGTGTCTACCGTATTCCTATACAAGTTACGCTCCGACCAAGTTATCCCTGCCAGGTCAAAAAGCAAGTTGATTGGTCGACTCGACCACTATGGCGGACTCCTGCGTCGTTGGGTAAAAACAGAAGAGGGGGTTGGAGGGTAAGGAAGACACCCGGCTCAGGAACGTTAACGTACAACTTAGTGCCTGGTGTCTTCTGCTTTTTACTTTTTACCCTCTGTTATTACAAATATAGCGACCACGCAATTGTTTAGACAATTTGACAATGTCGAATTATTTTTAGTAAATGAGAACGAAAACAACATATGCTTCGAATATGTACACATTTTTCAAAATATATTTGTGCACTAGTAAAAAACCTTAAAAAAAACTTATAAATATATCTAATTCATACATATGTAATAACACAGAATTTAATAAAATACAAGGTTAATCTCATTTGTCATTTGTCAGCAAAGTTATAATTTTCACCTGCCATTTTCAATTTATTAATAACCTCTAGATAAATCGGTCCAACTTCACCAATGCTTAAGACTGAATATTTAAAATAACTAACGTCAAGATACGGATGATTCTTATTATTAAGTACGCGAATATGTTTCCACCTAAACGAAAAAAATTTGGCAACTCTCAAGGTGCATATAACCTACAGTACGTGACTGGGAACACGACAAAGAAACCGCAACAGTGGTTCTCAATCGTTAAAAATAAAATTGATAGTTCGTATCTTTTAAATTAATCGATTGTTTTTACTCGAAAAATATATGCCCCACAGGTCGAATTAATGTTTCCGATATATTATAATGTCAATTTTCGAAACAATACATGGCAAAACTTATCATGAAAGGGTAACATATGTTTATTAGAGTAATAGTACTATTTAATTTTAAATTTAAAACAGTGCTAATTACAATTCAGATATAATAAACTATCGAAATATGTACCGTTAAATACATTTAAAGTTAGTTACAGCACTACTTTGAAGAAAGAAACAGTTAAAGAACGTAGAAAAGAACCACTGTATCGTAAAGGGACGGTTGTCCCCACTCTTCCGCACAGAAAGCAGATGGAATAGGTACCGAGTGGAATATTCCATCGTCACTTTGATGAAGCAGAAACGACGACCGAAGAGTGAGGGGGAAGAATAGGTAGTATAAGGGTGAATAGGCTTGAAAAGGGGAGAAAACTATATACAAACGATATAATAGCATCTCCTCTATTCGTAAAGAAAGTAAAATGAGTTTTAAAGTCGCCGAATAACTCTAAGAAGGATAAAAATTGTACATTGAACAATTTCTTTGTTGGAGTTAGGTTGAGGTTAATTTCCTTGAAAATGTTAATCTATGCTTATACATACGTTTCGTATGCTATAATAAATTTCTCGGAAACTTATAAAGTAAGAAAGCATATGCGTGTGTAGGATTTATTAAATATGCTGCATTTAAACCACACTATTTGAAAATTAGATATTTAAACGTCGTCTTCCCTAATATTCTACGCGAATGTTATTTATACATACCATAGTTATATACTATTACAGTACTCCGATCAATTACCTAGTTAACGAAATACTGAAAACACTGTTTTTCCGTTAAAAATTAAAATTAAATTGCAATTTCAGTTTTATTTAAACATGCTTTACAAATGATAGAATTAATAGAATAACGGAAGTTAAAGAAAACATGGGCATAAGGACGTACCGTGAAGTAACGTACAAATATTACAGAAATAACTACAAAATTCTCATATGGCAGAATTGATGTTTCATAAATGTTCGTGGAATGTGTATTTTTAGCAATATGAATGAGAGAACCTTTAAAGACAATATCTGCATATTCATTGTCCATTTAATTGGACTCCGTTAATAAAAACGTCACTGTTAAAAGTAGATGGTACGCAGTTAAAATCATTTTATACTACGTACCAACTGTCGAAAGCTGTTGTATCTCGTTCATCTTGAGAATGACACTGGTACCCGCGATTTGTTGATGATTTTGCTGCTGTTGCTGCTGTGGCTGCTGCTGTGCTTGCATGATGAACGCCACCATAAAAAACGATGTGAACAAGAACGACGCGAGTATTTTGGTAACCGCGTAGATAATAATTTAGTGGGAATTCAGTACCGATGCCGAAAACCGTGATAAATCAAATTCAGGGGTAATTCTGTGCTCTCCGAAGAACCGAAACAAAAACAGGTACCCGCCGCACTTACATCGGCATGCACAAGCACGACCTTTCAGTATGCGCCATCATGGATTTTCAAGCACTTTACTTAAACCGAGAGTTAGTACATGATATGCAAATCATGTAAAAACTAAATTATATAATTATCAAGTACTCTATTTTTACAATTTCTTTTACAGAAGATTCTGTTTTGTGATAACTACGTCCTACACAAACGACAGTCTGTCAACGCTATGAAAGCTTGACATAACATGAACCACGTATACGTAACACGGGCCGACGCGAAAAACCAATCGATGAACATATTCCGGGTTGGAGACTCGTGCCGTTCTATGCGCGGGAAATATAATGAAACTTTACTTGGACGGCTATTGAATTTCACGAACCCTGGAATTTGGCAATGAACTAACGATGAACTAATAACGAATCGGAACTAATTATCATAATACATTTTCAATGTTATACCATGAAAGATTTGCTAATTTATTCGTGGACGTTAAATTAGCAGTTACATACGTGAAAACATTTATGCGCTATAAAAATACAAATAAAAATTATTAAATTAAATAAATAAAAGGTCTTGTTTTTCTACAATACGTTATTGCATATACGGTATTATAATCCAATATAAAAATATTTGAAATTGAAAGGATAAATGTTTATTACACAGAAATGTACAAAAAAATAGGATATTATAAGGAATTAAAAAAGGTGGAATTTTAAACAGAAATATAACAATTCTGAGCGTTTGTACTTGAGCGCCATGAAATCTCAAGCGGTGAGACGTCAACTGTGGCTTCCCAAGTATAAATAAGAACCCGATCTATTCATTATTCTTACTCTTTCGGTGCTGTTACCGGCGTTACGTGGTTTTGTGTTCTGTTTAGTTTCGTATCGTGCATTTTGAAAATTAATAATGGCAGATAACAAGGAACGTACCTTCATTATGATCAAGCCGGATGGTGTACAACGTGGACTTGTCGGCAAGATAATTCAACGTTTTGAGGACAAAGGTTTCAAACTTGTAGCGATGAAAATGCTGTGGGTTAGTTTTACTTACATATGCCGTCTACATCAGAAAAAAAGTGCATACTTCTATTTTTTCGAACTACTTAGATACCAGTTCCACGTTGGCATATGTATTTAGTTAAAAACTCTTACGTGAGAAACACGTGTCTTGTTTTATCGATCTTTAAACAGATAACAATTACTATGACCTTCATTAGTAAGCCATAATACATTATATCTTCATATATCAAAATAAATTGTTCAAACAATAATTTCCAATTTTCGTGCTACATCTATTATATGTGCGACTAAGGTACGCAAAAAAAAATGTAGTATTAAAATTGATGTACTAATAAATGTAGTACTAAAATTAACTTACTAATAGATAAATTATTTTTATATACTATTATTAAAGCAAATTGGATTTGATTAATCAATTCTTTAGAGCACAATGTTGGCACAAAGCCTAAGTTAAAAACATCTGCTATTATAAATTTACTATATTATAATCATGTTGTCTATACTATTTGACATTTAGATAATGAAGTGGAATATACCTAATATGATTTTTTCTTTCTATAGCCATCTGAGGATTTATTAAAGAAGCATTACTCAGATTTGTCATCCAGACCATTTTTCCCAGGTTTAGTTAAATACATGAGTTCAGGACCAGTTGTACCTATGGTAATTATTTTATACACAGTCAAATTTACAAATATAATTCATGTACTAATTAAATTTTATAAATGTTTCTTAGGTATGGGAAGGTTTAAATTCTGTAAAAACTGGTCGTGTTATGTTGGGAGAAACAAACCCAAAGGATTCTGCACCTGGTACAATTCGTGGTGATCTTTGTATTGAGGTTGGACGCAATATTATTCATGGATCTGATTCTGTTGAATCTGCCAACAAGGAGATTAAACTTTGGTTTGGAGGAGAAAAAGAAGTCACTGATTGGGCATCTTGGGCAGAAAAATGGATTTATGAATAAGATATTAATTTCATCATATATACTGCCATTCCTACAACATTGGGAAATTATTATGTATAAATATACTTTAAAGATAATAAAACAGATTCTTACAAAATTTATCTAATTAACAAATTAATAATTTAATTATTAAGTTTAATTTTAATTCTTTTCAATAGTGGTAATCACATAAACATCATTTAAACTTACAGCTAAGGAGTAATAAAAATAATAATATGGTAATAGTAGACAGTGTTTTCTAGATTACATGTATAAATAAAACTATTAACTTAAAAAAATTAATAGGATAAATGCACCACGGTGCGTCAAAATTAAACTCCGATACATATAAAATTGTATTCGTCACATTGTATACAATTAAAAGTGTTCTTAAATTCTATACAAGTTCTGGCTTATCTTTTCACTTGTTAAATATATAACAGGAGTATAGAACATTGTTGATACATCTGATAGGAATTCATTATAATACGTATTTTAATATATACACATTATATAAACAAAAATTGTGGATAGTAGGTATTTTGTACTGTGGTAGAATTAATTGTCTGCTTCTCCTAAAAATGAACCACAAGAAGGGCAGTAGTGTCTCTGTACCAATGTACTATCCATACAATAAGGACAAGGAGCACAACACCACAATCTAGAAATATTTATAAACATTAGATCTTATGTTTCTAAAAGTAATTTGTAAATCGTAAGTTTGATTATAGCGACGTTTTGTACAATTACCCTAGTATGCAAAGTAACAGTGCAATAAGATGCGTTTTTGTATTAGCTTCAGATTCCACTCTCGTTGAGATGTCCGCATGACAGTGTGGACATTGTAGACGTTGCGATACTCTACCAAATTGCAGAACTGGTCGTTCTACAACAACGATATCTACAAAATCATTTATTAAATTTATTATTTGCCTGATATAAAATTCATTCATAATAAGTCTCTTTAAAATTTATAGAAAATAATGCAAGTGCTCCATTAATATATCCCAATTTATATTATATAAAACAATGCTTTATAAAAGCGATTGTCTTATTAAAGAGTATAATCTAATAAGTAGAAAATGCTGCAGATAATTTTATACGCTTCTACATTCTTTTGGCTTCCCGATTACCTGCAGGTGCTAGCTAACATTTAAAGCCATTGCACTCTTATCATTTTAGCATACATATATTTTTCTTACATACGTGGTTGTTGCTGCTGTGGCTGTTCGAAATACGGTGGTGGTGGTGGTGGCGGAACGAAACCTGGTGGTGGCGCTGGCATATCTTTATTCATTGTGATTTTTCAAATTTTACCTAAAAAATATAAAGAATAAGTAATAGTACAGATGAGATACAGGATAGACCTTGCACCTAATGTATTTTTGTGTCGAATTTTCTGAAATCCCAATCATGTAAAAAATCAGAGTTTCTGACACGCATGTGACAAATCATCTACTAATAAACATTTACGTTATTTTTTTATTTGTAATTTCATAGTTACGTTTAATTCCAATTCCAACCATTATTAATGTTGTAATCTTATTCTATACTGAATCGGTAACGATGGTAGCGATACAAAAATGGTAAGGGTCTTTTCGGCCCCAAAGCTCCGGATAAAAAGTCCCATAAGATGCAAGGTCTGTCTGTGATGAACAATCAGACAAGTATAAAGATATAAATACGAAATCAGATACGTTTTATGAATGCATTCGATACTTCAACATAAAGTTCCATATAGTACATATACCTCATTGTATCGATATCGAGAAAAAATAACAATTCTAACCGATACAAATTCAAAAGTTTATTTTATACTATAACCATTTATCTCCTTTTCTAGATTAACGATTAACAACTTATAACGTTCTCCACCATCGAAGAAGAAAAAAAACCGTCGGCTACATTTTTAATGCTTTCAATGAAAGTACTTACATAAAGAAGACGTATTTCCAAGAATAAATCGATTGCAGTTCGACAAGAATATTTAATATCTATGAGAAGCTTGGTAAGGTCAATTGAAGTAGAGGGGAAAAAGTAATCGTAAGTATGATTTCCGGAAATGTATCGTCATAAATGTAACACGAAAAATGATAAGCGATTGATAAAAAGCGAGGGATTACCTTGAAAACAAGTTTCTGTTTACTTACTCTTATTAGATATCACAGATATATGTAATAAACTTGTACCTAATATGTACTGAATGCTTGAAACAGCGAAGAGAAGTAAAATTGGCAAATAACATAGAATGTTAACGAGAGTGGATCCATACTAAACACGTGATTTATATTTAACAATTGTAAATATTGCAAAGTGGGCGTACTTAACATTTATCAATATGGCATAACGTAGTACGAGCGATAGCTTTTGAAAATTGATACCGCAAAGGATAAACAAGCTTATATATCTTCTTGGAGGAAATTCAACAAATATTCATTTCGCATTCCTCTTCGTGGAATAGTATACACCTTTTCATTACATACATACAGGGTGTTTCGGGGCACGGGCACGGGTGAATTTTCCTTATGAAAAAATAAATCGAAAATACGGAATAACCGATTTATTGTTTGCGGCTTCGTTTCCGAGAAAATTATGTTTGAAAACTCTTCGCGTACGCCTGCACTTGCCACGCTTTCGACTTAACACCTTGACGTCCATTGTCACGTATATATGTGACATCGCCGGGCGAACGGTTTTCGGTTTTCGACCGGCGTCACGTTGACATGATTTCGTTTTTCGTAACATAAATGAATTCTGATCAATGTACTTTTCCGAAAAAAGAAAAATTACACTCTAAAAGACTGAGTGAAAAGTGCCGGTGGTACCATCTAGGCGAGAGTCGTTGGCGGCAGCGAGTTTTCGAGCGAAATGTGCGGACGTCAAAATATTAACCGATCGCACATAATTCTCTCTTGTAATTGTTCACGGTTTGTATGCTCTTCAGCATACACAAGTTCTTTAATGCGACCCCATAAAAAAAAATCTAACAGGGTATCGTTAATTCGATAAATGTTTCACTTCTCGGAAGAAATGGGGTGTCTTAGAAGATTAGTTTTTATATCGCAGATACATAAAGACAGGAACAAGCCAATCTAATACCATTCTATGTACATAGTACGATTGGCTAGATTGAAAGCGTGGCAAGTGCACATGTATGCGAAGAATTTTGAAACTTAATTTTCTTGAAAACGAAGCCGCAAACGAAAAACTCGTAATTCTATATTTTCAATTTATTTTTTCATAAGGAATCCATCCATTGTACTATCCGTACCGAAGTACCTTGTATAGAAATGGAAAGTCACATCAAATTGGAAAGTTCAAGTTTAAATTCTAATAAAACTTCGAGAAAAAGAAATTACAACACAACGCGGTCAAGTGTTACTCGATGTATCCCTCTGACCGTCAGAAGTTTTATTTATATGCTAAATGATCTTACAGTATATTTATTATTTATCGTTTAATGACTAATCATCCCATTGAGAGATAAGACTTTTTTTTTTACCACTTCTGATCTATTTTTATCAATGACATTTTACTTTAATATAACACTCCTATTATTCATGTAAATTACGGAAACATCATGCATTAATATTATTGCATTCATTTCATACTGTCAGTTATATTTTGTAATATAACAACATTAATATATCATATTTTCAACTTATGATTCATTTCATAGCGAAACATATAGAACAATGGAACGTCACACGGTGAAACTTTATACGTCAAACACGTATTTGTACTTAGAAATATGACTCACCGTAATTAAACACGTAACAATAATTCACATAACGTGTACTACCAACTTTTCGAATTCAGGTAACCACTTGTAGGAAGAAACAAAATCGAAATCGAAAAAACAGTGAAATATGAAATATCGTATTGACAAATGGACGAAGTGTATCACCCTGGTACAGGTTGAAAATGAATCAGTCGGTTTATACTTCTTCAAACACTTTCATAAATTTACTTGAATGAAACTATCAAAGCGAAACAATTAATTTAACGTTTATTTAGCGTTTATACACGTTTAAAGAATTGATTCCTTCCGTAGAAAGATGCGTTTATCTACTGATTTATGTGCGTTAGTCCATTTTGAAATATGTATACACGTACCTGTTGCAGTTATGGCGACTATGTACTATCAGTATACGCAACTTGCCAGCGACCGCAACGTGAAAAGAACTGCCTAACGCAGATTGTCGATATCCAGGTGTGTACTGACTTTGGTTTATGTCGGCTTTCACTCTACTTAAATTTAGATGCGTATGTATTAGTGAAGTAACGGTGGGGGGATCTACAGAACTGTCGAGTCAGACGTACGTATGTTATCTAAATGTTATTTTATCAGACCGTCCATTATCGTTCATACAAACAGATGGACCATTCAAGTACCTGAAAAAGTAGTTCTTAAAGAAAGATTCACTATGTGATCAATTTTTTACTGTTTTATCATATTAACGAAACAAGCATATTGTTATTCGTTTAATTTATATCTAGTGTAAGGATAAGTTACTTGCTGCCAACCCACTATGCTAATAAATTAATAAAAAAAAATTTTTGTCTCATGCAATTAATTTCTTAAATGTTTCTTACAAAAAATTCTCAAACATTTGTCTATTCTTGTTTTCTATTTATTTGACATGTTATCGCTTTTGGTTAACAAACAACTTTATTTGTCGTTGGTAAAAATTTAAACACGGTGTCTAAATTAATAAAAATTATTCGTTCGTTAGTTGATGCAAAAACTTTTGGAATTTCTAGGATGAATTGTAAACATAGCAAGAAAACGATTATCTTTGACACTTTTGTAGAGATCATCGATATCTTCGATACTTCTCCGGCCAGATTCATTTGTTAAGAACTTCCACGATTTTTGCATTAACTTAACAGATAATCAGGTAATTCCTTTTCTTACAATTGTTTCGTCAATTCGTAAAAGCTATTAATTGATAATCATAAATAGAATATAAAAATATATACAAAATATTTGATAAGTTTTTATGAGCATAATTTATAAAGGAACCCAGCAAGAATTACGGTTGAATTGTTTAATAACTAAATTCATAACATGGAATTTCAAAAAGATAAAGAAATATCTAAGATACGAAGTTTTTACGTATTTGATAATTGATTACTAACAATACATTATCAACTGCATGAACGGAGCATTTATAAAGTGTATATTAGAGTAAAATATGTTTGACATTTCTTTTTACGTATTTCAGTTCCCACCTAATTCAATTAATTTCTTCTATCACGTGTATACGTTACAGGATAATCTTTTAAAAGAAACTCGTTGTCCGAGTTAACATTATCTATTTGGTTTTGACCATCGTATACAAAAACATGTTTAACATTACACGAATGATATTTCGCTACAAATATTTTCAAAATTTCATTGGACTCTAAAAGTGCGGTAGAAATTTCAACATTTTATAATTCTACCAACTAACAAATCAAACTGCGACCGATCGAAACAAAGTGTTCGCATGTGTGTGTTGTGTGTTGTGTGTTGTACAGGGTGTCTCTTTATAATCTTTCCACATGATGTCTAACGTGCGATACATTTTTGTTCAACACCCGATTAGCTGAGAAGATAATCGTGTGGAAATATTGTAACGGAACAGCCTGCATAAAGTACAATATTCTTTGGCTAGTAGGACAACAATTACCCTAACAATAACAATGCAAGGACAACAAAAACGTCACAAATGATAACGTTATTTTTATCGTCCAATCGAAAACAAGACGTTAAAAAATTTCGCATCAAACTCCAATGTTTAACGTTAACATATTCTTTTTTCTTTTTCTTTCTTTTCTTTTTACTAACAACTTAGTAACGCTTATTAGTCTAATTCGATCGATCGTTGGCAATAATATTGAAGTTTAAATTTTAATTCCTACATAGTGTCAGGAGTCTCCACTGCCGAGAATACAGCCAAGGTAATCCTAGAGATATGGGAAAGTAAACTACTAGTAAAAATGATCATCTAGTAAACGATCACCTGCGAGGATAAGTTTTTTTCTAACGATACACATCACGAAACTATGGTCGTTAAACGCGCGATTTAATTCGATGTTATCGGTAGGGAAGGGTAAATCCACACGATTTTCGTTATTAATATCAATATGCTGGCAGTATCGAATCGATTTTCTATCTGTCAACGGATTCGTTTGGAATGTTTTATATACCGATCAAAGGGAATAAATTCGATAGATCAACGACGCAGCCGAAAAAGGGCGGGAGCACTAAATAAATTTTTCTTTTTTTTTTTTCGTTTTCTTTTTTCTTCTTTTTTCACGGTGATTTTGCTCACTACGTGTGCTTTTTCTTTTCAGTCTTGACTTCTTCACGAGGAACGATCCGGCGTGGACTTGGTCTTCGGTTTTCGTCCGAGTAACTTGCGAAACGAGGAGGTCCATCTTGATCGAGTGAATCCTGTCGTGCTTTGCTCGTCCGGTTCGCTGCAACTAAGTGACTCGCTGATCTTCCTGCTCTTACCACTGCTGCTGCTGGTGCTACTACCCCCATTTTCATAACATCGTGATCTTCGATCTCCGATTTCCGAAGAAAACCTGAAGAGTATAAAAAACAAAAATAAAAAACGTATCGATACTCTAAGATATTCTTTCGAATTAGACAAAGACAATTCAGAGAAAGATTTATTATATAGGTACCCTGAATCGGATGAGAAGGCTCTAGTTGTTGCTGGAGCGTTCGAATTGGCCGACGAAAGTGATATCTCAGCAACAGGAGTACTCGGATATGCTTCGTCGTCTGACGCGCTATTACTACTTGTGGTACTGCTGCTGCTAACGTTACTTCCGCCGGCACTACTGTCAACGCTAGAATCGTCGATGAAGCTTATTTCTCGATCGGCCAACGGTGAATTGGTCCTTTGTCCGCGCGTTGGTGGCGCCGCGGACGTTGTGCTAGGTCGCAGCCAGGTTCGTAGATCCTGCAACGGCGCTTGAAGGCACTTGAAAACATTTCCACTGAAACAGAATTACGATTTTAACACGAATCTCTTTTCTTATAGCCAATCATCTCTTCTCTACCATCCACTTACTCGTCACGATAATCGTCGATCTCAGCGAAAGTACGTCTCGCGTACAAGCAGACGCTACATCGTCGACGACGACGGCAAGACGTGGCGTGAAGAGTCGCTGCACGAAGATGCCTCGCTGCATGTCTCAGTGTGATCGTCTCTCTGGTCAATGCAGCGACACCTTCCTCTCGTCTACGTCTTTCTTCGCCTAATTCTCCTTGTTCTACGCGTAACTTCTCCTTTAGAACTTCGTTCTGGAGACACAGACAAATTACGACAGTTAGAGGAGATATTATTGAATGTTACATATCGTAGGAATGAATGAAAGAGGAGAGGGATTAGGCGATTCAAGGGACTCGGGGTTCTTCAGATTCCTTCCTAAGGCTTTACCAATTTCGTCACCGCGATTCTTCGTAGTTTTCATTCCTTCACCATGGGAGTAGAAGTTCCCTGCTCCCACACTCGTTCATTCTTTCTCTCTCTCTCTTTTCGTTTTGTCGTTTCAGGATGCGTTATCTCTCCCATCTTTCTCACATTCAGAAATTAACAATGAGTCTTCTGGTAATATCTCTTTTGGGAGATGTGATCCTTTTTCCCTCTCATTCACAGCCGTCATCCTCTCTCTGTCGCACTCGCAACTCACAGACTGTTCACGCAGTGTACAGAAGATCCTTTCTCTTTCTCGAGCGGTGTGGATGTCTCCATTTCTGGACGAGCCCTCAATTGTAGGAATCGAGGAAAAAGGAAGGCCCAGGCGATGGGATTCGAGGAACTTGACCAGCCGCGCCCTTACCAACTTCGCCCTTGCCCTCCTGATTCCTTCACGCGGCTCTGGAAGGCCCCCGATCCCACAATATATTACGTATTATACACTGGGTACAAAAGGTATTTGCACACAATCGTATTTTTCAATTGCACCAAATGTCAGAGTGTCTCTAAAGAAAATTGGAAAATTTCAGATTCCTCGATTCGACTACTTTTCTAAATATTCCAGATGTAAAAGGACTGTGTGGAAATACTTGTTGTATAGCCGGTGGAAGAAATATATCGTGGTTGTGAATTACAGTATCTCGTTAACACTAGATTTACGGAATGCGTCGTTCATAAGGAAAATTACAGAAACCGTTTAACATTTCTCTCCTAACCACTTATGCTTATTATAAATTTTATACAAATACATAATATCACGTAATTTTGTTTACAAGTTAACAGCGTATAATATATTGTTCTTAAAGAGAATAAGTTGTTTCAGAGATAGGTATATAAGAACTGTCCGCAAAACCTAGCGTTAAGGACTGTAATATTTCACACACAACCCTGACCGAGCTTTTATACACATTCTTATATCCCCAGACTTGTTGTCTATAGTTTGTCAACGTTCAACTATATATATATATATATATTTCTTCCAGCCAGTTAAAGCTCATTAGAATTGTCTTCACCTCTCTCTCAAGAGCATCTCTCTCGGCACGAATAACAGTAGCCTGCCTGACGACGTCCTGGCGAGCACGTTCAAGAGTCTGCCTTGTCTTCTCGTTTTGCGCCAGTTGCATCTGTAGCAATCGTAATGCAACCTCGTGTTGCCTGTCCAGGCGATTCCTGGCAGCTATGCAGCTGTCTAATTCGTTTTTAGCCCTTTCCACCTCCTCCTCCAAACGAAGGCTTCGTTCCAGTTGCAGAAACAGCTCATCCTCCTTGCCGCGAAGCTCTGCTTCGCAACCTTCTAGCCTCTTCTCCAACGCTCGTCGAGTTTCCTCTAATTCGTCTCGTTCAGCCTGAAGACAAACGTGCGAAAATTAAAATTACCTTCAAAGAAAGAACAAATATTCCTACTTGTGCTTTCTTCAACAGATGGATATCACAATGAGTCATATTCTATTTCCGCGAAATTTCTTATCTCACGTTCTTCTCGGTTTACTCGTCGAAAGTATACACACGGATCCTTCGTTATCGTTATCAATGGAATATCGAGCCGAACACCGGCGGGTGGCTTGTCAACCGAGAACATGTTCCACGTAGTAACACCGTTAACAGAGATAATAAACCTAATTAAAAAAGAGAATGGAACAGAATGGTAGGCAGCGGTGCATCTGATTTCATGGCCGTTGCATACGGGATGCCTTTTGTTCCTTCCGCCACGTTGTTTATGCAAAACACGTTATTAACCACCGCCGAAACAGTTTTACAATTCGAAAGAAAAATTCAAATGGACCGCTGCCGCCGCGGTACACAACACGGCCATTATAAAGCGTACAGGCTGAAACGCGTACACGTGTTTCACCTCGGTGAATCCCACGTATATAATATACATACCTTGTGGGCTTAGTACTGAAACACAATCATTAAGGGTACACGGCCAAGAGAGAAATAGTATTTATAGAACGTAGCATACCAGACAGCCGCAGAGAGCCGCGTTGGCGAATTTATCCTTGTACCCTATATCATAGTTTTCCATTCGTGGACAACTCTCGTCCCGGTGATTACGTAAGCGCGATTAACGAGAAATCGGCGTGTGTCTCTCTAAACGCGTCGGTTTTCGCATACGAACGAGCCAATTTAGCTTTTCTAATCGATGCTTCTCGCTCGTTTTCTTCTCTACGTTTTATTCTTTTTCTTTTCACCATGGTTTTACGTTATTCGTATTTCGTATCGTGCGATTACGTTGGTCTTTAGTCTATTTGCCGATTACGCAACGAAGTCTTGTTAATCTATTAATATCATCGAGTGTTTCGAATTTGATTATGATCAATGGAAGAGGAGTATGTACACTTGGCCAAGTTAGGAGAATGACGCGGATTCGTCGCCGCTCCTCCCTCCGGCTGGATCGTGTCTAGCATCGCGCTAGATGCCAGATTGTAGGTCAGCCTATAGGTGGGCAAGCTAGACTCGTGAGGTTGATGAACGGCATTATGAGCTAGAGCAGGCCGTTTCGCGGCTTCTGTTTCACCAACAAAACCAGACTAGCTGACGCGCAGGGAAAATTCGTTAACCCTCGGATTTTCGCGGAAATCACGTCGAACGAACCGGTTTTTCTTAGCCGACTTATAACTTATTCGAGGATCGAATTTTTGCGTAATTCTATTTTTAGACAAATCGATAATGTACGCGAGAAGAAAGATTAAAAAGATGTTACTTTTTAAGAGGTTAGGGACAGCAGTGAAATTCTGACCGGATGTTCGATTATTACCAAAGTGTTTGTTTCATTATTAATACTGAATGCTTCAGTTTCCAATTTTATACGTGTTTTTTTTATAGAATATTGTAAAATAATATTCTATGGGTGGGTCAAGTCGTCTATTTCATTTTTTTTGTCATGCATGCTGAAATTACCTATCGATGGGTCACGTCGAGAAATAAGACTGTCAGTTGATGACCTACGGTGGGTCACGTCCACAAGTAAATAAGAGTATCACACGATGGCCCATGGTGGGTCATGCTGTCTTTTCAATCTTCTGATATCGATATTGGAATGACCCACCGATGGGTCATCGAGTGATGCTATTTTCGACGTGACCCACCAGTCTATTCGATCTTTTGTCACCCACACTGAAGTTACCCACCGATGGGTCACGTTGACAAGAGTATCACTTCATGACCCATCGGTGGGTCACGCCGACAAAGCATCACTCGATGACCCACCAGTGGGTCACACCGTCTATTCAATCTTGTTCGCCATTCGCACAAAAATGACCCACCTATAGGTCACGATGACAATGGCTCATTAGTGGGTCACGTCGTCAATACCATCACTCGATGACCCACCAGTGGGTCACACCGTCTATTCAATCTTGTTCGCCATTCACACTAGAATGACCCATCTGTGGGTCACGCCGACAAAGCATCACTCGATGACCCACCAGTGGGTCACACCGTCTATTCGATCTTCTTCGCCATTCACACTAAAATGACCCACCTACAGGTCACACTATCCAGAACACATCAAAACCGCCAATTATATCTTCAATTGATTCCCATTTTCATCTAAAACCATTCAAATCCCCAAACGCTACCTACTTATATTAAAAGAAAAAAAAATGTAATATCTCGTACGATTAATTCGCTATACACATCGCATTCCAGCGAGAGACAAGAGGCGAGACAACGAGAAAGCCGCGGCTGGAAGGAAACCGAAGAAAGTCGAGAGGAAAAAAGGAGGCGAACGAACGAGCAAGGGGGGAAACGTGTCTCGAAAGACAAGACGCGAAACCGCAGAAGGAAAAGCGGAGTAACGAAACGTAAGTACATATATAACAGTTTCTTTCTCTCTGTCCAAGCTACTTTTTTTTTCTTCTTGTACCATAACCCTCCTCAGCTGCGCTATCTCGATTTTCTTTCTGCGGTTTGTCTCTCCGCATATCACACGCACGCACGCATGCGCGCGGTCATGGTAAATCCTGCGGCAGCCACTGCTGGACAAGCAGACGTACAAGTGGCCGTGCATCGACTGGAAGGCCAAGGGGAAACCGGTGGCCACCGCGAACCAGTGAAATCGAACAACGAGGCGGCCTTCCTATACGCCTCTTTTCTCTTCCAAAGGCTTCCTTCCAAACCTACCTTTCTTCCCTTCCTTTACTTTCTCCGTCGTCTTTTCACCGGATTTTACACAAGCTGATTCCCTTAATCCCTACTTGTACAACGGGGAATCGTCGTTTCCTTTCACCAGCTTTGTACATTCCCTCGAGCATTTCTTCGTATATATAGACTTAGTTGTCCTTTCAAATCCCTACGAAAGATTCTATGGGTAATTCGGAAGAAAATTACCCTCGAGTGTTTCTCTTAGGTATAATGCAATATTTCAGAGAGGCGGGATATTGTAGCAGAGGCTAGAACGCTAGAAACGAGGTCGTAAAGTAAACCTTGGATTTGTGGGACCCATGGACGTCGTCACAATTACGGTTGTAAAAGTTTATCCCGTTTTAGGATTTTGTGTAATAAAAGGACGACGTGTTGTGACTAATGGTATTTCGTTTACAAGTTTCAATTAGTATTTGGAATAATTGGAGATCCTTTCTTGTCTCTGAATAGCTAAAGCTGAAGTTGCTATTAGGTTTCAAGCATTGTTAATTGCAAAGAAACTGCCTGGTCGAGGTTTCAAATCCTTTACGATTCAAATTTCCAATGCTTTTTTTTTTTTTTATTGGGTGATTACGGTCACACGCACCTTCTGAGTTTATTCAGTGGTGCAGTCTATAGTAGGTGGTATAAACCAATATCTTTCAAGAAGTTTATAGCTTTTTTACTTGAATTTTCTTTCTGAAGCATGGTCAGTGATTTCGGCAAGTTATGTTGCATCCTTTTCATATTGTACTTTGGGCAGGTTATCAGGATGCGGTCGACGGAGTCTTGTATCCCGCGGATATCACAGTTGTTCGGTTTTCCAATGCTTCTTTCCAAGTATATTGTGAGTTTTGTTAAGATAAAGATATAATTTAAGGGCAAGTTATCAGGATGCGGTCTACGGAGTCTTGTATCCCGCGGATATCACAGTTGTTTGGTTTTCCAATGCTTCTTTCCAAGTATATTGTGAGTTTTGTTAAGATAAAGATATAATTTAAGGTGTTTTATACAGAACACCTAAATATTCTAGCAGAGAAAAAATGAAATACATCGAACTGAGGTTATTTCCGTGTAAATTCGATCATCTGGACCCTCTAAAAAAGGTAACTTTTGCAACTCCTAATCAACTTAGCGGATCTATTTATAAGAATAAATTCGAGTACGATAAATCTGGAGAGTCGATCACAGACACGGAGCCTTTTCTAGTTCTCGGTTTTTCTAGCCTGATCGTAATCGCTGCCACATATTTAGACGGACGAGAAGTCTACATTCCAGCTTTGATCGAGGTCAAATCTCGCGTTAAAACCTCTAGCCATAATAGTCGAGTGGGTTCGTTATAGCTAAGAGACTAATTGGATGTCAATATTTCGAGGGATAAGGAAGAATCTGGAGCACGAAACGAGAGAAACCAGCCATTCCATTTCCAAACCTCTTCCTCCGCTTGTTCCGCCGTGTGTTTTCCGTGAGAAAGCACAAGCTCGCCTCGTCGAATTTCTTTTGTGAAGAGTTACACGCGCGAAAGCTTTAGGCAAACTGCAACTCCGACATGGGAAATCTTACCTATCCAAGGTCTCTGCGATTATAACGCGTGCGTTTGAATAGCATCGGCCATTCAGGGAGAATTGGGAACGCTCGAAGAATGAGACTAACGCAACTGTAAACTTGTACGATGTTAACCACCGTTGGCAATTGTACGTATGTACGTGTCTTTAGGGGAAAAAGAGTATGAATTTTTTTTCAATCAATTGAACGTTCGTCAACCTTCACAATTGTTTCGTTGCTGGAATGTTAATTCGTGAATGGGAAAGGTTTCTCGGGAGAAAAAATGGGGAATCGCGATGTTTTCTGCGGTATGAAAAGTTTCTCCTTTGGGCTTAGAGACAACTGGGAGTGGTACGTTTTATGGAATAGAATTTTTTTTTTTTTATTTCGAGATATAATTGAGCGATATGTAGAAGGAGTTTGTTTTCTCTGGTTGGATTTTTTCGCGATATAATATTTGCGAGAGAGCAAGTTGATTTCACTCGCGGCGCAAACTCCTCTCCTCCTGGGCTAGAGATACCATCGACCGGGATAACAAGACCGCGGAAGGATTTGTGCATCTTGGTTGCAATCGTCTCGGGGAATTAATTACCCCGTTACGTAGCACTTACACCAGTTTATATGCATTATTTATGTCAGAGGCTCTCAGAGCACGTTTCGCGATGGTTACTCGATCAATTATTTTTCTCGGGAGTTACCCCCCGGGCTCTTTTGTGTTTGTGAGCTTGAGAGAGAGAGAGAGAGAGAACGAGTGTGAGAGCGAATGAGTGAGAGACCGAATGAATGAGAGAGTGATTGAGTCAGAGAGCGATTGAGTGAGAAAGCGATTGAGTTAGAGAGCGATTGAGTTAGAGAGCGATTGAGTGAGAGAGCGAATGAATGAGAATGCGATTGAGTGAGAAAACGATTGAGTTAGAGAGAGATTGAGTGAGAGAGCGATTGAGTAAGAGAGCGAATGAGTGAGAAAGTGAATGAATGAGAGAGCGATTGAGTGAGAGAGCGAGTGAATGAGAATGCGATTGAGTGAGAAAACGATTGAGTTAGAGAGCGATTGAGTAAGAGATTGAATGAGAGAGCAATTGAGTAAGAGAGCGAATGAGTGAGAAAATGAATGAATGAGAGAGCGAATGAATGAGAGAGCGATTGAGTTAGAGAGCGATTGAGTTAGAGAGAGATTGAGTGAGAGAACGTTTGAGTGAGAGAGCGATTAAGTTAGAGAGCAATTGAGTGAGAGAGCGAGTGAGTGTGTGAGTGTGTGAGTGAGCGAGAAAGCGAATGAGTGTGTGAGAAAACGACTGAGTGTGTAAGAGAACGAGTGAGCATGTGAGAGAGTGAGTGAGAAAGCCAATGAGTGTGTAAGTGAAAAAGCGAATAAGTGTGTAAGAGAACGAGTGATTGTGTGAGTGAATGAGAGAACGAATGACAGTGTGTTATTTAGAGAGCAAAAGAACTACTAGGAGAGCGAACGTGTGAGAGAGCTAGTGATTGAGAGAACGAATAAGTATCTATGTAAGAGAGAAGCATCGTAGCATTGCAAAATCTGCACTTCATAGTCGCAAGCTCGCAATTGTCGAGTGAGTGTGTGAGTGAGCGAGAAAGCGAATGAGTGTGTGAGAAAACGACTGAGTGTGTAAAAGAACGAGTGAGCATGTGAGAGAGTGAGTGAGAAAGCCAATGAGTGTGTAAGTGAAAAAGCGAATAAGTGTGTAAGAGAACGAGTGATTGTGTGAGTGAATGAGAGAACGAATGACAGTGTGTTATTTAGAGAGCAAAAGAACTACTAGGAGAGCGAACGTGTGAGAGAGCTAGTGATTGAGAGAACGAATAAGTATCTATGTAAGAGAGAAGCATCGTAGCATTGCAAAATCTGCACTTCATAGTCGCAAGCTCGCAATTGCATTAGTTAATTCAACGATCAGAATCTGTTTAGTCTGATATGAACAACTCTAGACTTAGGAAATACAATTATAACAGAATTTACAGATACCACTGAATTTTAATTCCAACTTACACGACCTATCCAATTCGACGATTTCTTCTTTCATGCAATATTAAAACAGAAAGAAAGAAAAACGTATAAACGAAGAGATTAAACGCTGAAATCCAGGAAAAGATTCACTCTGCTTATACAAGTAGTTTCAGAATCCTCTTATGTATATCTATGACGAATGGAGAATCACTCTGACGAGTTTTATTCGAGAGTTTACGAAACAGTGACGCAAATTACGCTACAAGCCTTATTTTTACGTGATAGGAAAAACGATCGACGACTCTTTTTTCCGGCTTCATCGCGTTTCGTCCGCTCGAAGCTTCAGAATATCCGATGGCTAATCTATTAGACGCATCGCGCACGCTACTTTGTTTCTCTTAACTGTTCGCCGTAGGATTTCTCAATGGTTGGATCTCTTAATGATTAGGTATTCGTTGGTTTAATAATGTGTTAAATTGATTATCACGAGACGAAGATTCGTTCTAATTCTAAGATACACTTTTCACCGACGAATCTGGCGATCTCTTCACTCCGACGTAGCTAATAAGCTGTGTTACTTCTCGCGCCGTGATTTAACATCGTCTAATTTACTTGTTATTTCCCCCGGAGGAATTGATTGCAAATACTGTGAGTAAGAAGAAAGAAAATCTGTGGATTGTCAAATGTTAATAATGTACAATATTCTAAAATTTTAATATTCTAATCTCACTCTAATATAGTAAAAAAGAAGCTGTGGATTGTCAAATGTTAATAATGTACAATATTCTAATCTCACTCTAATACAGTAAAAAAATATCTCTGGATTGTCACATGTTAATAATGTACAATATTCTAATCTCACTCTAATACAGTAAAAAAATCTGTGGATTGTCAAATGGTAATAATGTACAATATTCTAATCTCACACTAATATAGTAAAAAAAATCTCTGGATTGTCACATGTTAATAATGTACAATATTCTAATCTCACTCTAATACAGTAAAAAAATCTGTGGATTGTCAAATGTTAATAATGTACAATATTCTAATCTCACTCTAATATAGTAAAAAAAATCTGTGGATTGTCAAACGTTAATAATGTACAATATTCTAAAATTTTAGTATTCTAATCTGACTCTAATACAGTAAAAAGAATCTGTGGATTGTCAAATGTTAATAATGTACAATATTCTAAAATTTTAATATTCTAATCTCACTCTAATATAGTAAAGAAGAATCTGTGGATTGTCAAATGTTAATAATGTACAATATTCTAATCTCACTCTAATATTCTAATCTGACTCTAATACAGTAAAAAGAATCTGTGGATTGTCAAATGTTAATAATGTACAATATTCTAAAATTTTAATATTCTAATCTCACTCTAATACAGTAAAAAGAAATCTCTGGATTGTCAAATGTTAATAATGTACAATATTTTAATCTCACTCTAATATAGTAAAAAAAATCTGTGGATTGTCAAATGTTAATAATGTACAATATTCTAAAATTTTAATATTCTAATCTCACTCTAATATAGTAAAAAAGAATCTGTGGATTGTCAAATGTTAATAATGTACAATATTCTAAAATTTTAATATTCTAATCTCACTCTAATATAGTAAAAAAGAATCTGTGGATTGTCAAATGTTAATAATGTAAAAAATTCTACAATTTTAATATTCCAATCTCACTCTAATTCTTCTTACCCAACGCACAACGTTAAAACGCTAAAAAAAATCGTAAGGCAAGTGGTCAACAATTCTCAGACTTACAAGTGAAAACTGAAATGAAAATTTGAAGTTTAATCGCGAACAACAAAATTCACTTCAGTTCTATCTGGAAACATAATCTAAGACAAGAATACGACTCGTTACTGTAAGGGAAGGGGTTAATACGAGATATTCTTCTGGATTACGCGTATCGAAACGAAAGATCTGTTACACAGATACACTTAACTTGTTCTTCCACGATTTACAAATCTAACATAATATTCTCATTAGCCCGATATGATGTAACAACAATCAATCTGAACGAACAAGTACCTATCGAGATATCAATTGTTTCTCCACGTACCTTCACTTCGTGGCCTTTGCTTCCGCGTATTTAGCCTCCAGGGCGATGTACTTATCGTAGTGGCGTTTGAATAACACAAACCTGCAAACAGAAATTACATCAGATACCAACAATATCAGATACATCGCTGTTTAATTCTCCCAACGAAAGTGTCGTCGAAATTAACCGTTTCCCCGGCACTTGTACCGTCCAGACAACGACACAGGACATAGGAGAACGTATTAATCAATGTACATATCATTAAGCAAGTTTTATGGTATTTCGAAGTGTTTTCAAATACAGAAAAGTATGCAATTTTACTGCTGAACATCGTCTTTTTAATCAACAGCGAAAGGGTCGAGAATCTCCGTGACATAATGTGGGATTTAATTTGGACTCGTGATTCGGAAAGTGTATTAAAGTAGTAATAGTTTATTAACAATAGTAAATGAAAGAAAACTAAATGTTCACGTCAACTCTAAACCACACTGCATTCTCTCCACACAATCTTTCGTTCCACGCTATCTCCTCTCTTCCAAATCTCGCCCCAAAATAATAGAACAGATAAAGAAAAGAGCAGGAGTTTCTACTATTCTCAATTTTCCCTTCGAAGAAGGAAATACGGCTCAACCGACGAAATACAGCGAAACAACACAGACTTGTTCAACGTCGCTGATAACATCGTAGTTGATGCGACGAAAAACAAGGAGAGAGAGAGAAAAAAAAAAGGATGTTCCGAATTTTTCAAGTCAAAATCGACCAATTGACAAAAAACAGACTCAATTAACACGTTCGTTGTCATGAAAAAATTGACATCACGCTAAGCGATACATTGTCAACCGCATACGCTGCGTCAATGGCCGCGAACATGCGAAGCATACAGCAATTACACCGGCAAGACCATTCACAGACACGATAACAATCGGTGAAACAGTAGAATCTTTCTCACTGGACTCGCAACAATCCCGATTTCCCTATGAACACGAGCGTGTCGTTCCAACTTGCCAGAGCGTTCTCTCGTTAGAGATCCTCCGGTTTGGAAACCGGAAGTCAGCTCGAGTCCCACGCGAGAATAACGAGCAATACTTGCGACGACATCGAATGAAAGCATTCACAATAGGGGGAGGCCCGACCTTTCGGTCATGATGCCAGCTGTTGATTCTTTCTTTCCCTCGAAAAAGAAGAAAAACACTCTTCTAGATCTCCTGATCGATTTCTCTCTCTCTCTCTCTCTCTCTCCGTCGTAGCCACCGAAACTTCCTCTCTCCGGTTCTTTTTCTCTTCGAGAAAGACTGGCTTTGCCTGGCTCTGCTCACTGACACTACCACGGCTCCTGGCTCACAGCAGCTCGTTCCATTCTCTCTCTCTCTCCACCCAGCCACAGACTTTCGCTTTCACGATTCACAGAGAGACGTGCGCCTGCTTCGAGATCCGACAGCGATCTTCGCCGCTTGGGTCTTCCGGGTCTGCTCTCCCGACTGCTGACTGCCTGCCTGACTGCTAGTCTAGCGAACAAGAGAGCTCTTACACGTCCGTCACACCTTCCTGGACCGAGTCTCCTCTACCCGTGTGAAACTTGCCACGATATGTAATACCAGCTCGATCTTGAAGGTGACGATCGTAAGAGATGCGACGAATCGTGACGGGGATCGAGGAACAAGTATATTGTGTGACACTCCTTTTTCTGATGCTAGATATGCTGAAACTTTAACTCGTTGCACCTAGGAGCGCATCAAGCGATTAGAAAGTTGACACTAATTCGACACTCTGTTGATGCTACGCATTGATTTTCCTGGCTGGTTTAATATTTCGATAGATAATGTAGGTTAACGATAGTTGCTCGATGCTTCGAGTATCTAACGCGAGCTTTCGATTCTGTGTTTAGCTTGGCGGCGAAGTTAGGGAAACAAAGGGGAGATTGTGTGAAATTTTGGTACGTGTTATCGATTCGGAGGTGAAGAAATTACGAGATTAAATATCTCGTGGATAGATATCGTTGAAGTGTATTACGTATTAACGTAGCTTCGTTATTTTCACCTTTCCATTGTGTAAAATTGGATAAGATAAATTAGAGAAATTTTCCACGGGAAACAATGCTCGTGCGAGGAATTATTCGAAACCTCCTTCTATTCTCAGTTACAAAACTTGTGTCGGCTGTTTTTGAAGTGAGGTGTGCAATTTGCTTCACTCGTCTTTTCTTTAAATTATGGAAAGATGGAGCTGGGTCAGATATGACCCATCGCGAGGTTTGTTTGCCTATACATCAGGGGATCAGTTAAATTTCTTTTATTAAATTAAGGTAGAAGTGTTGCTAAAATGCGCCAAGAGCACAGAGTGAGAAAATATTCAAAGTGCCTATAGGCTCCAAGGTCTCAGAGCGAGATAATATTCAAAACGCCTATAGACTCCAAAGTCACAGCGTGAGAAAATATCCAAAACGCCTATAGTCGCCAAAGTCACAGCGCGAGAAAATATTCAAAACGCCTATAGCCACCAAGGACACAGCGCGAGAAGATATTCAGAACGCCTATAGATACCAAGGACACAGCGCGAGAAGATATTCGGAACGCCTATAAATACCAAGGACACAGCGCGAGAAAATATTCAAAATGCCTATAGTCGCCAAAGTCACAGCGCGAGAAAATATTCAAAACGCCTATAGCCACCAAGGACA